AAAAAAAAAAAAAAAAAAAGGAACTCTAGAAACATCTGTCGAGGTCAAAAGTGACCACCTCGTACACTTTTGAATTCCACATATTATACTACAGTAAAGTTACCTGTGCAAACAGCTCACTGAGAGATTGATTATCAGGCAGGTCACTTATGTGTCTGGAGTAAAAGTGATGGAGCGCAAGAATGTCCGCCTGGATCATCTCATCCTTCTCACTGTCCAACTTATCTAGGTCTTAAGGACACAACAGGCACAGATAAAGAGACAGATTGAAAGGACAAGAGCACGACAAGAAGACAAGAAGACAAATTACATGTTACACCAAAACCTTACTTGTATGCAAGTGATATTTATATTTATTATTTAAAAGTTCAAAAGTAGAAAAAAAAAAAAAACCAAACAAACTAAAAGGCAACACATTAAGTCATAATAAGGGATATTAGTGACGCACCGAATATATTTGTCCAACATTTTCATCGTTTCAACGTTTTCAGCCGCATGACTTTTATCACCGAAACAACACGGCCAAAACAGGAAGTTATGATGATGTAGGCAAAAACCAGCTGATAGTGCCGACATGTCTCTGCGGTGTGGACGTATTTCAATATATCTGAGAAAGACCCACGGATAATTTGCAATTTGCAAAACATGTAATGCTAAAATGCAAACATCCCGATTGCTATGCTAAATATGAGAGGATGGAAAGCCTCTTTGCGCAAAAGCGAGTCTTGGCTGCACGTAACGCAGACCAGGAACTCCCTGTGACATTCACTTCACCCTAGTGGGTCTTAAGAGAGAGAGAGAGAGAGAGAGAACACTCGCTCTCTCTCTTCTTGCCCTGTTTGAGCAGCTAACTAAAGCGATCAGCTTCTCTGATGCATCTGTAGCAGAAGTCCCGTCTCTAATAATGTTATGGGCTGTCAAACCAGTCGTTACATGACTTGACTCCAGTACGTGAAGTAGCTATTGCAAGAAACAGCTATAAGCCATGTGTCTCCGTCAGTCACAGAACGTCACAGACATAGACAGGTGGCAGCTGTGCGCTGATCTGCTTTGTAAGGGGGTGGGGTTGGGGGGGGTGCAGAGATAGGTCAGCTGTAAAGTGAAATCAGTGACAATCGTGTTGACACATTAGAGCCTCTAACGACAGATGTCACACTCATGATAGCAATTAGAGTACAGAACAATGCAAATGGTAAGCCAATGCTCACATTTTGAAATTTAGATCTTAGCAGCACATGTACTTTTTCCTCTTAACAATAGAAAAAGTACATATATATATATATACATATATATATACACATATATACATATATACACATATATACATATATACATTCATCTACATTCTTTATATATGTTTAATACATACACTTGCACATTCATACACATGAATTAAACCTATATATACACATGTGAACAAACACACACACACCCACACCCAGATACAATATATCTTAGTACTCACGGGATTCAAACTCTCTGAGCAGAAATAGCCTTTCTGACGGGGTGCGCTCTGTTGTTGTTTTCTACAACGTCACATCCATATTTTAGTCAAGAAGAAATTAAATGACTACATTTTTTATCGTCAATACGTTGCCTTATATAAAGCCAATAGCCAATCACAACATTTACATGTATAGGTTGGTTCGCAGTCACACATTTGAGGGTTATCAGATGAGTTTGCTGACGTTCAATCACTGCTAAAAATGTATCAAATCAAAGTTTTCATTCGTATTTTTTTTTTTTTTTTTTTTTCACGTTCTTACTTGTTTCATGATCATTCTGGCCACGAGTCGAACCGTCTCTGATGGGCACCAATTCTCTCCAGAGGCACACATGGCTGAACACTCCAGCTTGTGCATAGACCAATCGCCTCTCTTAATACACACAAATAACAACAGATGTAGATTAAGGGGAGGCCAAACACTGATTTATCTCAATGAACAACAGACACTTTATCACATCCCATCTAAAGGAAATACTAATGCAAACACCTGTAATATATAAACACCTATATTTTATATTTAAAAATATATATAAATATATATATATAAACACATATATAAATATATATGTGTATATATAAATTATATATATACATACACATATATACACATATATACATATATATACAGTATATACACATATATATATACATATATACATAATATAAAATGTAGTAATATGTGCAACTTGGATGGATGTGAAACCAGTAAAAACATACGATGTCTCCACTCAGACATCCTTTCGAGGATTACCTCTTGATTTGACCTCAACTGGACTTCTACTCCTGGATAGGCCCAGTTCTAACACTTTCTCATAGACTGAACCAGTCGCTCTCTTTTTCTTATAATTCTCCTCGCAGGTCAGCCCTGCAACAGTAGCTTAAACATCTTTGTGTATTCCCGTGTTGTTTTGCAAACGTCTTCCAAAGAAATTGTCTTTGAGGGATGACCTGTTTCTCGCCATCTTGAAGGCTTTTGTACTGCTGTACTTGCTAAGTGTATGTTTTACAATTTATTTCATCTCACAATTTAATACTAAAGTATTCATTTCTATTTTCATCAAACTGTATATGGCACCAAGACTGCCATAAATATCACCACCCATGTTCAGGAGAAAAAAAAAAAAAAAAAAAAAAAAAAATCAGTTTTGCATACATGCCACATTCTGTTCTTGATGGAACCTCGCCTGAGATTTAAGGACCAGTTGGTAGTGAAACAAGAACCAAAAGAATCCTACCACAATTGTAGAACGCACACTCACAGTTATGAAAAAAAAACTGACAAGCATGAAAACGTAGTGCATTCTTACCTGACAGTCAACATTGCAGTAGTAAGCCTGTTTACATTTGCCACACTTAGAAAGGTCTTCTTTCCTGGAAGGTCATAATAACATACAATGGTTGTTTGTTAATATTAATGAGGTACAATTAGTAGAAAGTGTACTTGATGTTCCTTTGCAGTATATATACTGTATATACTGTTTATGCACACACATATAAATATATACACCATATGTATATATATACATATATATACATATATATACATATATGTATATATATACATATATATATATACACATATATATACATATATATGTATACATATATATACATGTATATATACATATATATATATATATACATATGATATCTACAGGCAGCTAAATCACTTATTATTCTTATTATTGTAAATGTTGCTGAAGACCCCACTGAATATAACCATATACACTGACAGTGTATACTCAAGCCTCCTGTTCAAATTTCTGTTAAATATCAATAATTGAAATGGTAAATTATTTGATCATGCATCTAAGCATATTACCAATACCTTAGATTTCAAATGAAACAGTAGAGTGCATATGATCTTTTTATTAGAGTAGATGTGCACTCATGCACTAACAAAGGGGACCTCATTTTTTGGCTCCTCCTCTCTTGGGACAAATGGACAACTATATTTAGAACACACACTGACACAACACAACGTGCTTTACCAAACCCAACATGATTAACATAGGTTCTTTTTTTTGCATCTAATAGTACTATAACAATTAAAAATGCAACAGGAGAGCCACATTGTACATACATGCATGCACAGTTGCACACTAAATCGTATTAATCATTAAAGACGGCACACTTGTCATAGCGACAACTACTGCACGTGCCCGAGGGACAGAAGCTGAAAGGTTGGTGACAGTTCAGTTAAATATGCCAGTAAGGTTTTTTTTTTGACATGCTTTCTTGTAATAACAAATAAATGAAACCAAGCATAAAAATAAGGCATGACTCATGTTCCGTATTTATACAACTAAGACTTTAAGCGTTTACTTCTGTTCCAATACTATACACTATTTCTTACATATAAAAACGAAGGAATTTTAAATCTTTTGTGGTGGCTATTTTCTTTGCATTATTTACGGTATAATATCATGTACAGGTATCTATTTCACACGTGATTTAATGTTAGATAACTATAATTTTAACCGCTCAGCGCTGAGACAAGGATTTATCACGAGACACGGGTCGCTACCGGTGTTAGCCAGTGCTAAGGTACAGTCAGTTTTTGCTGCTCGTCTTTTTTTAAAACATATTTACAACGTGGTTGTTCGCTCTGTTAATTTGGCGCAGGTGATGGTGCTGTTACCTGGTGAAACAGTGCTCACAATGTGCCCCTCTTTCGGTTACAGTCAGCACGGAGGAGTAAGCGGGGCAGACGAACACCAGTTCTCCCACAGCAAAGTGCCGCAGCGCCCGCAAACCGCGGCCTCTGCTCGGACTTTCAAACCTTTCCGTCCCTTCAATGCCATAGTTGTTCATGTTTTCGCCACTTTACAGTAGACAAACAGACCGACGAAGACGAAGAAATACCCACTCGCGTGAACAGTCTAAATCCAACAATTACCCAGTATTTCCTTCTGCGCCGCGATGCTACGTCCGTGTGTCTGTTGGAGCTCTTACCGCCCCCTGCCGGAAAGGCGAAAAATTAATCTTGTTTCCGTTTGCCATGCGGTCTAGTGATTGACGTTTAAAAAAAATTAAACGTCATCACTAAGACACACAAGTTGCAATGCAGGCACTGACATTATAGATATTTTATTCTTTACAGACCGAATCCTGTTCTTTCAGCATGTTTTAAATGCTGCCGTGTTTGTTCTAAGTAATCTAAAAGGTACATCAATTTATCAAACAATTAATGACACATTTAGGCTTATTTAATGATGTTATTATTTATTTATTGTTTTCACTTTTAGTCCATATCAATTCTACAAATCTAGAAATTATTTTAAAAAAAAAGAACTTTACTCAATTAGCTCTTATTTTGCAGGGTACCTTTAATACAGTAAATACATCAATTAAAATGTGTTTTTTTAAATCAGATTAATCACAGGGCAGCTGTGAAATATTCACTATAAATTATGACTATTTCCAGAGAAATCAACGTTCCAATTTGATGTTAATTAAAGGATTTTCTGTATGTAACTGGAGCAGAAAGACAAATGGCAGCAGGTCAACGTATGTGTTACACAACTGTTTTTTTTTATTGATGACCGATCTAAATGAATATTCATATGGAAAAAATACCAAGAAAAATATGCAAAAGTACATCTCATAATTTTCCCGAGCGACTTCATTACTTTGCATCTTGACAGTGTGTTACGAGTACAATTAATGCATAAATTTCGACGGGCCTAGTTTTGACTAATTCTCTAATTCTCGAAAAACAGACACTGCGCGAAGCGAGTTCAAAATCAAAACAAAAAAAATAGAATATATACAAAATTTATCAGAAGACCCATGTCATGTGACCTGTAACAATCTTTACATACCACACCAGAATTGAGTCTGAAAATAGGTTGTCACAAAATGTGACAACCTATTTTATTTTGTATGTACAAATGTAATCAAAAATAGTATCTTTCAACTTTATGACTAAATGCACACTAAAGCTGCAAGTGTTATTTGAATAAAACCTCAATCAGTTCAAGATTCATCAAAAATGTTCATTTGTTTTGTTGCGGTTTTCCTTAAAATACTGTTAGCATAAAACATCTTTTTACTGTTTTGACTCTTTTTTTTTTACTATTTTCTTTATTTTGGACATAGTGAATCAATTACTCCAGAAAATATCAGACAAATAAAAAAAAATTAAACATAAACAACACCGAGTTATTGGAGGCTTTTCATTGTCTTTATAAATCAAGATTGTATTGCACTCATGTCCTGCACTGAACAGCCACTGGAGGCACCACTTAAATGCACAAACAAGGGAAGATAATTTAAATCAATGGGGAATGAAGACATGAACAGAATACAACATAAAATAATATACTTTAAGGTTTTAAAACAAAATTTAAAAAAAGTACAATTAGTGAATAAAACTGACAAACTGTTTTAATCAAAATGATGTAGGCCAGATATGGCCCATTGGTCCATTTATTACAGTAATACGCATTCATACCATGCCCCAGGGTGAGCTTTCACCACATCTAGTGACCAATCAAGCAACAAGATATTACAAAAAAAAAAAAGAAAAGAAAAAAAGAAGTACAACAAACGTGATGTCTGACCTGTGCCAGTTTTGTAAAATCAGGAACAAAGTAATTTTTTTGCTTTGTGAATTTGAATAGCTGTCCTGTGTTATTACGTCATGTTGCGTCATGTCAGCCAATACATTTAGTCCGTTCCTGTTGTTGAACCCTCGTGGTGATATATGACAGAAACATTACATTGTATACCCTGAAAAAAAATAAAATCCAATTTCACTTAATTAGTCTGAAAAACATTATTTATTCACTGGAACTCATTTGTCTTTGTGTGCCATTGGCAGAGCAATTAAACATTCTTCTACTAGGCGACTGCAGATGGCGATTAAAAAAAAAACAAAAAACACTCAGCTGTTGGAGAAGAACTGCATGACGTTCTTCAATTCCTGCAAGAATAATCTGATTTATGGTTAATAATAATTAAAAAAAAAAAACAGTTTCACACAGTAAGTACATTGGGAGTATTAAAAAAAACAACCCGGTTTCACACAGTAAGTACATTGGGAGTAAACCGAAACCAAATGATCATTACATATCATGACATATTTTTTGTGGCATTTTCTAACGTAAATTACAGTATGTGCCGTAGGTGGAAACTGCTACAGAAGGGACAGTCTGTGCATTGCGTACAGCGGAACAGACAATCATTTCAGCACCCAAAATTGAAGCATTGTTACCACCATGAAGACCTGGTTAACACCGTTACCCTAGAACATTAGAAATGATTCATCTTTATAGAAGGTTATTTCTGGAATTATTATTTGGGAATCACAACTTATTAACAGTGAGACTTCATTTGAGTTACCACAAACTGACTCACATCTGATTTTGTTTTATATCCAACTCAGTTCGTCTTCCCAGGACGGGGTCTGTTTTATGTTGGCGGAGTGGGAGACAAAAATATTTTTGAAAAAATAAACTTTTATAAAGTGTTTACGCGAAGCAATAGCAAAAATATTAGCTTCTTTCACAAAGGGTACGTGTTTTATTTGTAGCTTTTTTTTCTCCATATCATCATGCTTGACATGTTACCGCAGAACAGTTTACCACCATTTGAAAACATGAAACTGCATATGTTCAAACACGTTTTACAGATATCTCTGTATGAATCCTAAAGATCCAGTATGTCTGAGAGGAGTTTATTAATGGGAATTGAACCGACAGTTAGTCAGTTTTTAAAAGGAATTGACAATAAAATGTAACCTATTTTCTTAATTTTAAAGTAATCTTTTTTCCATTTAAATGTGGGCTTTGCATTTAAAGACCATCCTGGATCCTAGATATTCTTCTACACACATTTACTTTTTCAGAGATGAAAAAGGTACAAAGCAAAGTAGATGATCTATTCAGAATGGAGATTAAATAGGGAGAAATAATAGACATGGTTCTGAACAGCACGTTTCCTTTTTTTTTTGAGTGTAAAGGTTTAATGGTGGCAAAGGGAAGAGGAGTATTCTTCGATAGAATAAATCAATTTCTTACAAAAACATATGAATACTGGCCTTCCAATTTGGATGTAAATGCGGTAGTCGTTATTAACAACGTTAGATTAAAGGCCGACACCACAACACTGGCATAAACGTGAAAGCCTCAGTTGTTAAACGGAAACAGCACAGCTTTATTTATTTAACAGAGCACTCATCCATCAGATATGGACAGTATTAACTGAGCCTGGAAACGGCCAATGCACGCGGCATGTAGAAAACACATGCTCCCATTTCCACCTGCGTTGATAACGGACGAGGAATCGTTCACTGTGAGCAATGTCAACAGGCATCTTCATAACAAAAAGAAATGCCTTGTACCATGTCGTCGGTGACCAAACAAACTCCATATAAAAATTACCATATTTTCTGGACTATAAGTTGCTCCGGAGTGTAAGTCGCACCAGCCAAACGATAAAAAACAGTGAAAAATTATAGGAGTAGCAGATACTGGTACACAAGCCTAGAGTGCCCTCTAGCGGCTGTCAGTGTGAAACTAACGAACATGTAACCCAAAAATGTTTACATTGAGGGCAACTGGACTAAGTAGGTTTTTTTAGGAAGACGTTTCACGTTTCATTAAAGAGACTGACTACTGGAAAGTTCTGGTATTAAGTCACAAAGAGGCTGCATACCCTTTCTGCAACGACCCTTTCTGCCTGATTTGAGGCTAAATACCACAACGTCCTAGTAGTCAGTTAGAACTGAAGAAGCCTCTTCGAAGAGGGGTGAAACATCATTTTTCGGACCATAAGGCGCACCGGATTATAAGCCGCAATATCAATGAACGGGTCTGTTTTCATACATAAGGTGCACCGGATTATTAGGCGCATTAAGCGAAACAAAACAGTCAATCAAGGATACCCGGATCGCTCATCGTCCGAGTCAGTCTCGTTGCTGTTAATTAGCTGTTCAGGCTCATCATCCGAGTCAGTCTCGTTGCTGTTAATTAGCTGTTCAGTGATGATTCTGGCCTTCGTGAAAGCTCGGATGACATTTGAGGCCGATACCTTAGCCCAGGCATCCACGATTCGTTAGCAGATAGCGGCGTAAACTCGCTCAGCCTTGCCTCCCTTTCTTGGTGAACGTGTTTTTTTCCTTGCCTGTCATCCAATGCTAAATAGGCTTGTACAGAAGCCTAGAGCGCTGTCTAGTGGCTGTCAGTGTGAAAAGAACAAGCATGTGAAATTATACAAGTCACATCTGAGTACAAGTCGCAAACCCAGCCAAAGGATGAAAAGAAAAGTGCAACTTATAGTCTGGAAGATACGGTAATATAAAGTACTAGTCTTCAAAATGATAACATAAGAAATCATTTTAACCAAGTGATTGTGGTTTCAAATACTAATTTCAGATGCCTTTAGTAGTAATAAAATACCAAACTTGTAATAAATGTTCAGGTTAGGAGGGAAATAACAACAGATCAGAGAAGGGACACAGGAGTTGGATGGACAGCTAAAATGCCCAGTCTGAGGCCGCAACATCACATCAATCACAGGCGGTAAGCTGTACACTCCTCAAAAGGTGACTTGATCTCAAATAGTTTTCCTCTGTGACCTTACAATTTTCAGGATGCAGCAGCAGTGGGGGGAACGACGACGACAAAACGGCAGGTAAAATATGTATAAGTAGCAACAACTGAGTGAGTTCTGAACTTTTTACGCCTTTTTTTTTTTATTATTTCTAACAATTTTGTGCGCACAACAAAACTCTCCCTCTGAGGTGTAAAACAGGAGAAGCAAAGAATCTGGGATATATATATTTTTTTATATATCTCTAGATATAAACAACACTACCCACTGTCTCTGGTTGTCATATTTAGTCCTGATAGAGATTTGTAACATCTTGCAGAATCAGTACATCTGGATTAACGCGTCATAATTTAGCATTTCCACCTTAAACATAAATGAATAATACATTTCAAATTGAAGTGACACACTCGGAGATCAGTAGACACTGATCTCATTTTGTGAATCGCATAACCCACGACGACATCCAATTTCGATCTGAATATTCAGACAGCAACATTCTTACATTTGTAATTCGAACAAATGGAGAGAAAGGTCACCTGTGCCAGAAACAAACAAACAAACAAACAAAAACAAAAAAAAAATCTAATCACTCCGCATGAAGTAGAGCATAGTCGAGATTATCTTTAAAAAAAGTAGTAATTTTTAATCGCTCTTAAAAGACAAAATACTCTATTAAAATGTTGACAAAATGAATGAAAAAAAAAAAAAAAAGAAAAGAAAAAAAAGAGTGGAAAGACATTTATTTTCTGTGCATTTTTTTTTAACACCACATAAAGGTGCTGCAGCAGCCAGTGCTACAGCCTGCAAATGGATAAGCTTCAAGACACTTCCTGGTTCTAAGAGTTTCTCTTCAGAGCCTAACCTGTGTCAGACCCAGTGCACAACAGCGAAGTTGCTCATCCATCCATGCCACCTCATTCAGAGGTGGAGGAAATGTACAGAAACCCCTCCCCCCCGCCCGGCCCAAAAAAAAAAAAATCGTACACAGTACTTTTCTTTCATTGCAGATTCAGTATCTGATGTAAATAAACATAAGTGAAAGGTTGAAGACTTAAGTGAGTTTCTTCTCTTCACATTGCTCAATATTCAAAAAAAGCACACACCCTCGAGGTCTCCATTTCATCTGCTGCCGTGGTCTCCGGCTTGGTGTGGAAAAAACCAACATGAGTGGAGCAACAATACCAAGTTACATTCCTTTAAAAAATCCTGTAAACCTTTGCAATTAAGATTTATGAGCAAGATATAAAAAATAATAGGTAAAAAGTATTGGATTTTCAGAAAAAAAAACAAACAAAAAAAAAACAAAAAAAAACAACCCCAAAACCCAAAAGTTCTGGAAATAATGAAAACCACTGAGGTATATATTTGGGTCACCTGCGTCCATCACAGTTGTCACTGTGATACTCCATACTTCGGTATGTTTTGCAAGCACCTGCCCCCGGGAACTCATGGTCATTGTGTTTTAATGGGGAAAGGGGTGCATGACGGGCTGCACCTTTGAGGAAAAAAACAAAACAAAAAAAACAACAAAAAAAACCCCCAAACATCATCTGATCTACTGATCATCTTCTTTCGTCCATCTCTTCTTACCCGTGCCCAGTTTTGTTGACATCTCTGTTGCAGATCCAGCTCTGCGCTGACTTTGTTTAACCCCTATGATTGTAAGTTGAGGGTAAACTTCCACTGCTGGTTGAGACTGGGGCTGCACACCTCCACAGTGAGTCCACCCATCCTGGCACTGCGACTGTCCAGACAGAGATTACTGCCCACGTGACGAAGCTTGGCGTTGGACTCAATTTGCTCCCATCTCTGTTGACATGCAAATGAGGCTGTTGTTTATATATATAGTCAGATACAAAATTACACATATGTTTACATACTTGCCCAAATGGAATAGTACAAAATTAGTTACTGCCCAGGAGCTCTGGGTTAGGAATGGGATGGCACTTCAGTTCATAGTATGAGTCAAGGCAGGTGAGCCAATACTTTTGGTAATATAGTGTATTTACCCTTTTACGAACCTCCCCCCACACTGTTATCAACCCTTTCCCACACAATTATATGCACAGTAGAGTTGTATAATGGAAATATAAGACATACATATTACATAAATAAAATAAATACACGACGTGGTGCAGGTTAGCGCTGCAAAGCTGCAGGAGGGAGAGAACGGGAGTGGTGACACAGGTGCAGCACCCGGACGCACCAATATTATGGAGGAGGCTGACTAACCACTTATCAAATGGAGCTTCAGTACTGTAGTCAAAGCAATAAACCCAAAGCCGTTAGGGTTTGTAATCCTGTGGGTCACGGATCAGAGTTAAAACCCACATTCTCATCCTAGGCTGAACATTGAAAAGTAGCAGCCAAACTTACCTGTCTGCTGTCGTTCTCTCGACAGCCTTGTAGTTTGATGAGGGAGCCGGCCGTTCTCTCTACTACGGTGAGACACAAATCCATGTGTTTCACCGACTTATCCTTTGTAAGGGCCCATTCCTGAAACCATTCCACAAACGCGTGACTTAATGTGCAATATTCAAACATCCAATCAAACCCCACCAAATTGTGCAATCCATTATAGAGACAGTATTTTAACCTTAATCTATTTATTTGGCACTTTTTATCCAAATATTTTGGATACAAATATTTGGATAAAATATTATATATTAATACACTCAATTTCACAATTTGGACTATCAACATTCTATCTTTAAAAAAAACTTTTTAAAAAAAGCTGTAATACAAGCAGTATTAGTTGTTCAAATAAAAACGTGATAAGCATTTCACCGTAAATAAAAATATTCAGGTGAAGCTCATTGAGCTTAGTAATTAGTTCAACTCAATTGAACTAATTACTAAACTGTATATTACATCAGTAATATACCTTGGAGTATATTACTGATGTAATATACTTCAAGGTGAACTATATTACTCATGTAATATAGTTCACCTTGAAGGGCCAGTTGTAAATGGAAGATTGTATAGATCAGACGTCCCTAACCCCCGGTCTGCGGATCAGTACCAGTCCATAAGTCATTTGGTACCGGGCCACAGTGGGACACAGTGAAAAATGTACCTTATTTTTACTACGGCTGGTATAGATGTAACTACTCCATAACAGACCAATACATGTTTTTGCAGTTGATTATTATTTATTCAAGCTACAAATATTGTCCATTGCTGTGTAATTAAAAAAAAAACATCTAAAATTTCTTAGGTTAAGAAAGTCTTCTACACGGACTTTACTTAATGTCTTTTAAAGCTCCCACGCGGGCCACACAAAATGGGCCTGGCGGACCGTATTTGGCCCCCGGGCCTTGAGTTTGTCACATGCCACAAAGCCGTTACCTAGCTATGAGCCAGATATCATCCAAGAGACTTTAGAGGAAAAAAAGTGACCTGTGTGTGTGTTGGTTACCTGGTTTCCACCAGCATTGTGGCATTCGTAAACTCCCACCACCCCATCGGCAAAATGACCCAGCGTGTCCAGACAGTTTCCTCCTTGCTGCAGGGCTCCGAAAGCAATGTCTTGGTGATCAGGGACCCTTGAAAACACAAACGCAGCAGAAGTATGACAGTTTATCTGTTTTCTTCAGCAGCAGTACAAGCAGTTTAGCAGCAGCTAAAGGTGGAGCATTAGGGCAGGTGGCCGCAACCAAATTCAATTTACATCAAAATGACTTATATAGCAGCTGTAGTAGAGCCGACCTACTGTAATTTTCAGACTATAAGCTGCTATTTTTTTTTTTTTTTTCATCTTAAATAATGATGCGCCTTATGGATTTTTATGGCACTCTTGCTAAAGTCTGCCAGTAGATCCTCACAGTGCGGAGCAGAGTCAAAAACCGCATCCAAATCAGCAACAGGTTTCGAGTGACGAAGACAACAACACGTGCTCATTTGCCTCGAGCAGTTCTGAGGATGTTCATTTCCCACACTAAAGAAGATGACTTGAATGGTTTTAGTGTGCTGGTATGCTACTGTGGGTTATGCTAGTAGCGTACAGTTGTGCTAATAGTTTATATACCCTGGCAGAATTTATGATTTCTTGGCCATTTTTTCAGAGAATATGAATGATAACACAAAAACTCTTCTTTCACTCAAGGTTACTGCTTGGTCGTGATGTTCGATACCACCAATTTCCTTTTCCGATCCGATACCGAGTAAAATTCGGGCTGGTATCGCCGATACCGATACCGATATTTTATCATTTGTCTTTTAAATAAATTTAAAAAAAATGAGTATTTGAAATCATAGCTTCTTTAAGAATCCAAGGCAGAGTTTTTTATTTATTTATTTATTTATTTTAAACTCTGGAGTGTACTGAGGTAGCTGCCTCATTTACTATACAGTCAACACAACAATAGAAAAACCTGAACATATCATAAAACACAATCATATAAAATATGTCAAAACAATGTTTCAAACTCTGAAAACATGTTATTTGTAAAACAAAAATTAAAAAAAAAATTTAAAAAAATAATCTGAGGAGCCATTTGGGACCCGAAAGAGTCGGATTTTTTTCAGTGAACCGAACCAAAAGAACCGGTTCCCTAAAAAAAGAGCCGAAATTCCCATCAATAGTGACTGAGTGAGAGCACGGAGTAGAGCCCCTGTGCTTACGCATGACGCACACACCCAGGCGGAAGAAGAAGTAGTCCCACCAACCGAGCGTCACTTAGACAACATCTCAATAATTTGGATACTTTTCACCATGTTTCTGTTTAGGATACACCTCATCTCAGAATGCGTAAGTATCAAAAGTATCGATATTTTGATTTCAGAATCGATTTCAGAGCATAAAGATCCAGAATCGGAAGTATCGATATTTCAGGATCGATCCGCACATCACTACTTAACAGCAGTCCATGTGATCATGCGCTGTGGTGCAGTTACAATAGTGAACCAGCAGAGGGGCCCAATGCTGCATTTGACTTTGTCACTGGACGAAGTATTAACATTAAACTTGCACAGTTTGTGTACTGTTTTTTTTCTTTATAAATTTAGTGCTCAGTAGTGCCGGACATTACGGCAATTCAAAATGATTGACTCTCACCTCTCTTGCTAATAAATAATGTGGACTGATCATCACTGTCTTTCATAAAATAAAAAGCTCTTGTTGTCTCACCTCAGTTCAGGATAGACGTTCTCCAGGTACCACTTGAACGGCTTACAGCCTAAACGTTTCTTCATCTCTGTGCGACTCTGGATACTAGGAGAAAGAGGGGAAGAAATAGTTGAAGAGTTGCCTTAGGGTGTCCAATAGTGAGAGAGTTCAATTGTTTTAAATCACCTTTTCAATATTCTCAAGTTTTTTGTTTTTACTCTTGCTATTCTGTAACATTAAAAGAAATGAAACCTACTTTCCATAGGGGACATTTCTGGCTGAAGGAACGGCAGCGTAATAAAAGTTTTTAAAGTCGTCCATCCACACTTCTGCCGCTCTCCTTGTGTTCCTTACAGAGAGGACAGAAAAGAAGGGGGAAAAGAAATCAATGATTATTAATGGTTTCTGAAGCCATACAAATGTGTTTTTCATTTCCCATCTTTGTATCGCTGCAGCATGTCAGTTGAATGAGGAACAAATATAGGAAAATATTGTTCATCTCTATTGTAGTGAGCATATATACATATATACATATATATATATATATATATGTATGTATATATATGTATATATGTGTATGTATATATGTATGTATATATGTGTATATATATGTATATATATATATGTATGTATATGTATGTATATATGTATATATATGTGTGTATATATATATATATATATACATGTACATACATATATATACATATAGATATATATACATATATACATACATATACATACATATATACATACACATATATACATATATATATACATATATACATATATACAGTATACATATACATATACATATATTATTATTATATATGTGCAAGTATAATGACAACAACTGAAATCCTATCCTTACTGCTGGTTTACTGAAATCATTCCTGCAGCAGTAAAGGTATTTACATTTTTAAATCAGGTGGAGAATGTGCTACAATGACATCTGCAAAAAACAGTTGATCAAGTCATATTTTAGAAACTTTAATGTATTACTGTATTAGTATCTCTCTTAAAATTATTTCTGGGAAGAATAAGTTGGACTCTGACTTTGTCCAAATAAATTTTTATTATAACATACATATGATAACTATATATATTATAATAATAATTATATTAAATTATTATTTTATTATATAAAATTATAATTATATAACTTTTTCCTTTGTCCTGTTGTTTTATGTTGCCAAAACTGTTGTTTTTTGTTTGTTTTTTTTCAAAAGAAAAAAGAAAAAAAATGGCATTAAAACAGAACTATTTAAATAAAATAATCAAAAAATAATAATGAAAAAAAAAATTAAATGCAATTTAAAATCAATCAACAATGTTAAAAAGGAAAGCTGAGGTTAATAATAATATTTTCGGTCCCAATTTAAATGAGCTGACGTTGCTAATTCACGTTGCAACAATCGCAGAATTGGTACAAAAATTGACAAAGCAAATTCCATGTAGACAAAAGCTGGAAACCACAACGGTTTAACAGGTAATTAAAGAATAACCTCAGTCAGAGTCACTGCATTAAAAACATTATTATCCTCTGAACCAGGGGTGTCAAAAATACGACCTGCGGGCCGTAACCAGCCTGCTCGGAGGTTCAAAATTAAAAATTGATGAGTGCTGAAAGTTCAAAACACATGCACAAACACTGATTGTTTTGTCAAATATTTCAACTGGTTGTACTAGTTCAACACACTCGACATCTAATCAGACTCTATGTGACCCCGGACCCAAAATGAACTAAGCTTTTCAATAGGACTAATGTGATGGGACTTGTCTTTGTAGACCTGAAAAGTCCATGTTGACAGTGTCGACTATAGTTTACTTTTGTCCAAAACTTCATCTTTTAATTTTTCCTAATTCCTAAGTGGTCAAATGGTTAACATCCCATGTCCAGAAGAGAATACAATGTGTCAAAGTTTGCCAGGACATATCTCTTTTGATCAAAAAACAATATGGGCATTCCACAAGGATCTAATGCAGAAATGGGCAAACTTTTTGACTCGTGGACCACAATGGGTCCTACAATTTGACCGGGTCAGGAGCAGATAGATGGAGCGTTCGTATGAACTACAACTAAAGTCATGGCTAAAATGCGTGAAGCTTTTTCTATGCTATTTATTCGAGAAATGACAGCATTGCAGGGACAAAGTAGAAGTATAATGATAATAGAAGTTAATAAAATAATTTAGACAGGTCTGGCAGCCCGGATTAAGAAGCCAAATGGATCGCATCTGGCCCCCGGGCCGTAGTTTGCCCATGCCTGGTAGAATGGTTTGGTCATTTTATGTCATTTTTACACAGATGATACAGTCATATACACTAGTGCCAGGCCGTTCCATCCTGTCTACAAGTATGGCTATGAGTGGCTTACCAATAAAAAAAAAGAAGATGTTCATGTGCTTTTAAACCAGGAAAATGAACTACTGTAGCAACAGGTAAAAGTCAACTAATATAATAAAGAAAATCCAAACAGCAGCAGAATTCAAATATTTGGGAAAAATACTAGCACTAGATTAATAACTCAAATTTAATATCCATTTAGTATATATTTCAAAAACATTTAAAACAAGCCCAAACTGCATCAATTTATCCATCCATTCATCCATTTTCATCCACTTATCCAGTCCACTGGAATCTTGCCCAGGAGGTGAACCCTGGGGTTCCACACCAATGACAGAGACATTGCCTCTGGGCCAAAGCGCCACTGTATCAATTTAATCCGAAACAATATACCACAGAAGGCAGCCTTAATTCACATAAAATTATGATCTTCTCCCTTTTTTTTGTACTGTCTGAAAGTACAAGTCGCCCCCCTCTACAATAAAACCCCAGCTACAACTATAGTGGCACTAAGTCAACTTGATCATTAACCTTAAGCCAATCATCTTTGGGGACCTTTGGAGCACTGAGAGCCAGATGCACCAAAACTAAACGTTTCTGATGCATCAATATTAAGGTGCAGGTCCTTTAACAATATAATAACTGCAGTCTCAGTGTTTTTGTATGGTCAACAGCACAACTACAAGCACCGACAACATTGCTTTGGGGTAGGAGGTTTGCTTGCCAAAATGTGCGTACAGCCTCCCTACACTTTGGTTTTTGAGCTTTACCAGCTCTCTTTCTTCAAGTGACACAGGTCGTCTGTTCATAGCAGTCATAACATTTAATTGAAGCTGTTAACAAGGTCAGTAAAAAAATACATAAAAGTCTAAGCAAATAATGTACTGGTCTTAATCACCTCTGTTTTTCCTTTGAAAATGTTAGCTTGCGTGGGCATTTCAAACAGGACTCAGCAATGACGAAAAATAGGGATAAAAGTCACCACATCAGAGATGTTTCGACATTTGGAAATAATTACAGTAATTATAACTATATATATTATAGTATTATTATAACTAACTATAAGCGGCTACTTTTTTTCACACGCTTTGAACCCTGCGGCTCAAACAATGATGCGGCTAATTTACGGATTTTTACGGGCTAGCGAAGTTCAGACCGCCAGCGATCACTGACTTTTCTGGTAGGTTATTGTGTGTTACTGTTTATGTTCTGTTGCGCTCGATGTGGCTGATAATAAAGACCCCAACTTCCCTGTTTCTGTTTACCTCTGCTGCGGACAAGCAGCAAAGTGAAGGGGAGTTAGCCCCCAGAGCTAATGTTAGCTTCGGCCCTGGAGCGGATCACCAAGTCTCACCTGTGCATTTCAACTACGGTCGGGGCCGACCGAAGCAGGAAAGAGCTAACGTGTAACAAGTCGTGTTACAGGCACTGTTCAGGAAAAGGGTATTTATTTAATTTAAAGTTTAAAAAAATGAAAATGTGTGTGTGAATAACCCATGTTACAACATGGGTTCTTTTTAAATGTAGTGGGCAAGGGCTTATATTCAAGTGCGATCAATAGTCCAGAAATGAGGGTATATCAAATATAAGGCGGCCGTTGTTATGTGTTGGATTTGTTCCACATACATAGATTTTACATAGATAAAAAAAAAAGTTGAGATAGGATAAGAAAAAAATAAATCAAAAGATTTTCCACATTATTAACATGCAGACTGTAATTTAGATAACCCAAAAAAAAAACTTCATTTGGTAAGTGAATTCTAATATGGGGGAGGAGGGCAACAATAAACCCACAGTGGATGACGTGCTGGGTGGAGTTTTGGGGGGATAAAAAAAAAAAAAGTGTATCCTCACAGGCAATTTTTAGTGTTGGGTGTACAGTATCTCTTCCTTTTCATCCTAACATCCCTCGTGATTGAGACTCACTTCAGCGGGAGCATGAGCGGTTCTCCTGTGTGATGACTTTTATCCCCTGTCATACTCTTGTTCTTGTTGGAGGAAACAGTGAAAGTGAATTATTTGTCATTATAACACAGCACAGCACTCCACACAGAGCACCTCAATGGCAACTTAGCAGCTGGTGGACTCGAACCTGAAGCCTTCCGGACCCAGGTCCGCTTCCTTAACCACCAATCCACCACTGCCCAAAAAGATAGGTGACGCGGGCAGAAAGCTGAGTTGGAATTAAACTGTTTTACTCCTGACATTTTTAGGAAAAAAAAAAAAAAAATCTATCTTGCTTAATATGTCTGCAGAACCTCAAACATTTGAAATTGTCAATAAATGCACTAAACGTCACATGCAGTAAACCAATGTTCTTCCATTCAACTCATGGCAGAGGGTCACTGATAAAAAAAACCTCAACTTTCACAGAGCCCAGTGTGTTCAACAGATCATAGTCTTGTTTGAGCATCTTGTATTGCTGTTTCACAACATCAATCTTCTCGGTATGCAAGATATACACAATATATTACCAAAAGTATTGGCTCACCTGCCTTGACTCATACTATGAACTGAAGTGCCATCCCATTCCTAACCCAGAGTTCAATATGATGTCGGTCCACCTTTTGCAGCTATTACAGCTTCAACTCTTCTGGGAAGACTGTCCACAAGGTTGAGGAGAGTGTTTATAGGAATTTTTGACCATTCTTCCAAAAGCGCATTGGTGAGGTCACACACTGATGTTGGTCGAGAAGGCCTGGCTCTCAGTCTCCGCTCTAATTCATCCCAAAGGTGTTCTATCGGGTTCAGGTCAGGACTCTGTCATCCATGTCTTTATGGACCTTGCTTTGTGCACTGGTGCACAGTCATGTTGGAAGAGGAAGGGGCCCGCTCCAAACTGTTCCCACAAGGTTGGGAGCATGGAATTGTCCAAAATGTTTTGGTATCCTGAAGCATTCAAAGTTCCTTTCACTGGAACTAAGGGGCCAAGCCCAGCTCCTGAAAAACAACCCCACACCATAATTCCTCCTCCACCAAATTTCACAGTCGGCACAATGCAGTTATAATACCTGTGATATTTGCAGTTTTATTGGGAACCGTATTCCCTGCAATATTTACCATGTTTTTCGCAAACATTCCCAATATGGCATGCCCCACAAGCACAATTTGGAGCACGGTTGTAAATACAATTCTTCTGATGATGCAGTTTTTCCAGATCATTAGATGAATCTTGCGGTAGCGTAGCCAATTGGTTGTGCATTTTGACATTGTGTTCTACGGGTGGCTCTCTTGAGTGGACAGAGATTTCCTCTTTGGGGTGTTCCAGGGAGGACTTCCATCTGAAGACAGAGTCTTCCTGTTTCTTCGTACCCTTATCACTGCCAAGCACATTTTCAGTAGTTAACTGTATGACGCAAGGTTGATTTTTAAATAAATCAACCTTTAAGTATTAACAATTTCAGAAAAAAAAAAAGAATGATCCTTGATTACGATGGCTTTCTGGTCAATCAAATTTGGTCAATCAAATTTACATTATAATAGTCCTTTTAACTATAAATAGATCAGCGTAATGGATTTCTTACACTGGACAGACATGGTCTTTGGAGCACAGTTCGTATTTCACCAGGGATTCCTAATGTGTGGTGCGCACACGCGAGTGCCACTAGGTGGTGCTCGAGATGAAAAAAAATGTGATGTTGGGTGTGTTTTTTTTTTTGAAGTGGGATTTTCCACACAAGTCATGTAAATACATTTCCGTTTGTGAAATCAAAAGCTGACATCTTAATTTTATGGAAATATATATATATATATATATCCTCCCTGGAACACTCCAAAGAGGAAATATATATATATATACACATACATATATATACATACATATATATATACATACATATATATACACATATATATATATATTTCCTCTTTGGAGTGTTCCAGGGAGGATATATATATATATATACACGTGTGTTCTTCATTTGAGCATGGTTAAACAAAGCTTGTTGTGTTATGTCCCCCTCCCCCCCACCCCAAAGGTAGGGGTAAGTGGAGGAAGGAGTTATGTGGACTTTTGCACGTAACCCATCCTGTAACTATTTGAAAATATTGAGGATACACTCAATCACCTGGCAAACACAGTTCCACTGCCCCCAGGAAAGGTGTAAGGGTGTTGCTTTCTGAAGACGTGTCCAACTCTGCTGCAAGGAATGATCTCTAGACTGCCACCACATTGCCACACACGGAATGAGATCTCTATAAAAAGACACACACAGTCATGAATTGTTATTATATTAAAAGCAACAAGGGCACAGAAATCTAAATCTGAGAGATTGCATTCCTGTAATCCCACCTTAGTTAAGTTTTAGTTCAAGTTAAAAGGTTAAATCTAGGGTTTCAAAGGTGATTATTGCATTTCTGATTTGATGCAAGCACATCCGCTGGTTTATATATGATTATATGATTTCCATCATTAGATAACTGATTCAGAAAAGAGCATTAAGTCCAGGTTATTGGCAGAAAAAAATATTTAAAAAAAAAAAAAGCATATGATTTCCATCATTAGAAAACTGATTCAGAAAAAAAAAATGAATTGACATGTTACATAATCTTACACAGAGTTCATCAAAATGAATGCATGTCTACATGCACACTTTGCGTCTTCAAGGAAAAAAAGTCAACCCTAAAAAAATAAAAAAATAAATCAAATTTTTTTTTTTTTTTAGGAAATAGAGAAACTAGATCACCAATTGCCATGAAAACAAAAATACTTTTTTATTTTATTTTGTCTTTTTACTCATAAATTAAATAAATGTAGTAGTTTATGTTGTGGTCAGGTAATAAAGAAGTTAAGATTCAAAAAGAAATACCCGCACTACTTTTATGTAAGTATGGAAATCAGAAAGACGCAGCTTACTCACCAAGATTTTCTCCACCCCAAACGTCCATCATCATGTCGTACTTCCCTAGCTTCTCAAAGTAATCTTTATCCATGACAAACAGCCCTCCTGCTATCATTGGTGTCCTGAGAGAGATAGAGAGACACAGAGAGAGAGAGAGAGAGAGAGAGAGAGGGGGAGAGAGACTCAGAGGGTGAGAGGGAGAAGGAGAGAAGTTGAAGGTGAGAGTAAGATGCGTTGACAGCGATTAGCATGTACATAAACAGCCTCGATAAGCACAGCTCTTACTTTATCGGCGCGATTGGGTTGCCTTGTCTTGCCCGTCTTTGCTCCAGAGTCATGTAGTCCCATTTAAAAACTAAATTCCAGTCGAAACCTACACACAAGTCAGAAGGTGTATGTGGTTTAACAGTAAAAAAGTGCTTAGTGGAAAAAAAAAAAAAGTGATTCTCATGAGAATCTTACTCCAGTATATATGACATGCTAACAGTTGAGATACGTTTATTAGCGCTGTCAAAATTGACTTGATTAATCATGACTGATCTTGATCATGACTCATTGTGACTGATTTACAGTTAGCCTGTTACCAATCAGATAAAAAAAAATTGAATAAATCAACAGTTACTATTTTCATATAGATAATTGCTAAATGTTTAATCAGAGAAATGGATGTGGATGGGCACAATATTTAAAAATGAAAATGAAAATGTTGCACTTATTATTATTATTGTTAAGGACTATTTAAATTCAAATAATAATTGGGAAAAAAATTGATTTATATTTTGCAGATTTCTAACTGTTCATACTAGGGTAGACAATGACGTTTTAGGCAAGAGTTAAATCAGGGTGACTTTTAAATGCGTCAGCTCTGCAACTGTGAATTGATGTACACGTTTTTATACGTGGATGCACACACGCATACAGTCGAGCAATTGGTGTTTTCTTACCCCCTTTCAGATCAGCTGAGGCTCCAACGTACTGGAAGTTGTCCATGTTAATCACATCAATAATGGGAGAAACTACTCTCGTTTTGTCCTGTAAAAAGAAAAGAGCAGAAGAAATGTGACTAGGACAAAACAACACAACAAACGTCTGACGCCTGAATTTCCTTCACAGCATGTTATTAAAACTAGATTTATATATATAAAAGAAAATTCAAAGCCTTCTGCTGTGGTTAACAATTCCATACTGTGGACCCATATCCAGGCCCTTCAGTACGGAGAGTAAAGCTGGGAGTGGACACGCCTCCTTATGTGCACGCGTGTGTGTACCTCATGCGTGTTTGTGTACCTCAGCAACTCTCTCCAGCAGGGGCTCCAGCCAATGCTCATTACATTCGCAGTGAGAATCCAAAAAGGTGAGCACTGGTGCCGTTGCGGCATCTGCACCACGGACCCTTGATCGCATGAGTCCTGTGGACAATCAAGTGTTGCAAAAGGACAACATGACATTTGTGACAACAGGTAATTGAGTAGCACTCCGCGTTTGTACTAGTGATGTGCGGATCGATCCTGAAATTTCGATACTTGCGATTCTGGATCTTTATGCTCTGAAATGGATTCTGAAATCAAAATATCGATACTTTTGATACTTACGCATTCTGAGATGAGGTGTATCCTAAACAGAAACATGGTGAAAAGTATCCAAATTATTGAGATGTTGTCTAAGTGACGCTCGGTTGGTGGGACTACTTCTTCTTCCGCCTGGGTGTGTGCGTCATGCTTAAGCACAGGGGCTCTACTCCGTGCTCTCACTCAGTCACTATTGATGGGAATTTCGGCTCTTTTTTGGAGAACCGGTTCTTTTGGCTCGGTTCACTGAAAAAATCCGACTCTTTCGGGTCCCAAATGGCTCCTCAGATTATTTATTTTATTTTTTTATTTATTTTTGTTTTACAAATAACATGTTTTCAGAGTTTGAAACATTGTTTTGACATATTTTATATGATTGTGTTCTCAAGGTTTTCTATTGTTGTGTTGACTGTATAGTAAATGAGGCAGCTACCTCAGTACACTCCAGAGTTTAAAATAAATAAATAAATAAAAACCTCAGCCTCGGATTCTTAAAGAAGCTATGATTTGAAATACACATGTTTTATTTAAAAGACAAATGATAAAATATCGATAACGGTATATGCGATACCAGCCCGAATTTTACTCGGTATCGGATCGGAAAGGAAATTGGTGGTAACGAACATCACTACTGTTAAGTTTCTGTATTATTTATGTTCCACAAGTATATCAGGGGAGAGCGCGGACGCAGTCCCCCACTACCAGAAATTATGCAGTCGAGATTCCCACATTTGGGGAATTCGCAGGGGTCAGCACAGCCGGAGTGCAATGGCTAAGCCTCGCCCTGGGTGAAAGGGCACCCTGGGCTTGCGCACCAGAATCAGCTACTCCTGTACTGCTAGAAAATGTATGTTCGTTATTTTCACACTGACAGCCACTAGAGGGCACTTTAGCAGGCTGTCGTGACTTAGAGTCCAGAAAATACCATACCTGCCTTCTGTCCTCACTGTATCATTCCTTGGGTTGCTGATGAACATGAATGTAGAAAAGTACGTTTTAAATGCGTCTTCTAAATCTCACCTTCTCTCCGATCATTCCTTAACACACGCACTTTCTCAATTTTGCCCAGAAGCGCTCCATCCTCAGCTGAAAAACACCCCACATATCATTTGCAATTTACACTCTCACAGACCGATACTACATGCTTGAGTGCATTTAGTCGTTTATTAGTCTGCGTGCATTAAACTCACGGTTATCACTGTAGTCATCAACCAGGATGATCTCCTTGACCAGGTGAGCGGGACTTTTCTTCAGGACGCTACAAGGACAAGGTGGGCATATTACGGCGTTACGGCAAATTACTGATACGTCCCATCACATTTGACATGCCTTTCACCTAGTGCAATCACCTTAATCTTAGTGTCATGATCAGACCAGGCCACAGTTTCAGTTCCGACTAAAGAGCTTTGTCTGCAACTACTGCAGCTTACACCCCATGATTCCCAATTGTTTTTGGTGCTACTGCAGCAATATTATATTTTTAAGAGTATATTTGTAAGCCAGAATTGGACCTTTGGTGCGACTGCAGCCATATTATATTTTTAAGCCAGTATATTTGTAAGCCAGAATTGGACCTACCACCAGATACCTCCAGATACACCACAGAAACATTCACAGAGTAATACCAAGATCGTATGCCTCCACAAAAGACTCAGTATTGGATTAAATATAAGAATAACTTACTAAAACAGAAAGAGAGAAAGAGAGAGAGAGAGGCCCACCTGACCACAGTCCGCAGCAGGGCAGAGCGAGCTTCGTTGTGGAATGTGATGACTACGCTGGAGGCTGGGAGATCTGACTGCCACTGTTTATGTCTGCAACTGAAAGCAAAATTACAAATACATTACTTAGGAATTATGGAGATTTTTTTTTTTTTTTTTTACAACCAAGCAATAACAGAATGAAAAGTCAAGTCATATATGAGAAGGTACAGGGCAGGAATTTATACAAAAGAGACAGTAAAGACAGCTGTGGTGCGAATGATATGGTTTTATGATCAGTTGTACCAAAGGTTGAGCAGTAAGGAAGAAAAACTACAATGTGTACAAAGTGGAAGGACTTTTAAGGAACGACGTAAGAGAGATAAGAAGGGAATCATTTATCAGGACGTACAGGACCAGAGACTGCGAAGAAGAAGATAATAAAAGAAAATAAAAGTGCCAGTGGAGGAATGTAAATGTCAACACAAAAGGGGTTGAGAACAGGAATAGGGTGAAGGTAAATGTAAAGAAACGAAGCAACACCCAAAGTCTTAAAGTAAGTAAACTAAAATACAGCTGTTTGACTGCCACCCACGGCATACGACTAAATTAACTCCCAAATGTGAAGAGGAGTTTTAAAAAAATGGGATTGGACAATACTTTTTTTTTTTCCTGGCAATCGTGAGAATATAACAGGTTTTCTTCCCCATTTTACAATTTAAACTCTCAACAACACATTTTGCAATGGAGAACTACAACGAGCAAAAGATACAAAATGGGAAAATGCCTTTCTATAAAGGGGATTTCTGTTAAGCTTCTACTGTAAAAAAAAAAATGCACAAGTGCATTCAGTAGGACAATCAAGTAATGTCATTCACCAAACTATTCGGGAGGTTTTTTTGTGGCTAATTAGGTTCGGTTGTTTGTTCAGGAAAGGAACAAAAATCACTGACACCATCCTCCGATCCAAATCCGCAGGCAAAGAAGATGGTTCACTTAAGTGTGGAGCTTCCCTGGTCAGAAGAAGGGTTGATACCTCAACCGCTGTAGAGAATAAATCAGACCTATATGATAAACGAACTATTGTGGATTTATTGACAGAAGATGCTGTACTAATTCATGATTATTGGGCATTACTGGTGCCTACATGTCTCATGTAGTTTATCCATCCATCCATTTTCATCCGCTTATCCGTTACTGGGTCGCGGGGGCAGCAGTCTCCACCCAAATCACATCGCACCGTACCAACCCCCCCTAAACCTTCCTGCGGGTGGTGAGTCCACTGGAAGGTACCAACCGCCCTAACCGGGATTCGAACTTGCCCAGGAGGTGAACCCTGGGGTTCCACACCAATGACAGAGACATTGCCTCTGGGCCAAAGCGCCACCTCATGTAGTTAATATTGCCTGAAAATCAATAGAGTATCATTTAAATGTCCATACTTACGTATCTCATATTATCATTTATCATAATTTTGTCAAAGCAATTGCCTGGCACAGTAAAAACGATGCATAACAATGTTAAGAAGATCGACAAGAGAAAAAGTTTGAGATAGTCTTAGCCGTTTCAAAGATCACCTGCAATGACTATTTTCTGGGTCAATGCTACTTCCACGTGCTACCAAAAAAAACATCCCAATACAGAGATCTTATAGAGATTATTGCTATTATCCATGAGGAAGTCCATAAGTCAATTTTGTGTAATACACAAAAGGTCGTTTTTTGGGGCAACCATAGCCCTCCTGGGTGAGGTCTTCCCAGAGCGTGGGAAAGTCTCAGGATTACCCTGCAAGAGCTGGACAAAAGGTCTGAGGTCTTCTCTGCTTAGACTGCTGCCTTTGCGACCCAAACTCCGATAAGTGGCAGAAAATGGATAGGATAGTGTTTTTTTTTTTCTGTTTAAAATTGAATATGTCCATTAAAAATGCGTACCCAACTTGGAGTATCAGCAGATACCGACATCAATACCGTCTCTTCTCCAGCATACAGTGGCCTGCCATTGCTAATGCAATAAACACATTTATGGAATGTCACGCAAAGTCGAGTGTTTGGGCTTTTTTTGTTTTGTTTTTTTTTTTACAGATCCTAAGTATCGGCTCAAGTCATCCCTAATCGCGCCAACTTCTATGACACAATCCAATCCAACATAACTCCACATCTAGGTCTAGGCACACAACTTACTGGTCATGTCTAGTGTCTGGTACCGCTCTGTCCATTCTGAGTTTGTCACTCTCCACTTGGTTGAACTTGTTCCTGGCATATGGATCCTGACCTGGACGGACCACAGTGGCTCCAACGTAGAGATCTTGGTCATAATCCTGCCAACGTACCTTCCCTTAACACAGAAACATGGAAAAACCTTCAAACCTCAAGCCTCAACGTTAATGTCAATGTACAGTCGTTGTCAATAGTGAGCAAATAGTATAATCGAGTGTACCTATGATGTCAAATAATTTCAGATGAATTAACAATGATCCAAAGTTATCATCCATTACTACATGATACTGTAGAAAACAGCACACATTTTCAATGGCCACCACAACGTACAATATCACATCTTAAAGTGAATACGAAGGCTGGCTCAGAAGGCCTTGTACTTTTTCTTTTGAAATATTAGCATTTACAGTTGAAGTTCCAATTCGAACAAAGCGCAGACATGGTATTAATCGACCCAATTACGGAAAGTTAAACTGTATTACATGTGATCTTCGACTTATGTCAGAGTTCTGTTTGTACGGTGCTCAAGTACTTATTGTATGTATGGTAACACCAACATTTAGGACATTACAACATCAGAACGGTGGTTCCATAGTGCAGTGGTTGTTACGCATGCCTTGGAAGCAGAGTCCTGGGTTTGATTCCCAAGGGAACCACATGCTTGATAATGTTAATCCTCCTCTGTAAGTCACTTTTGGATTAAAGCCATCTCTCGCATACGTCGAAATGACGGAACAAGACGTTCCTAATATTCTAAATTGCTTGAACGGCAAAAAGGTCCACCCAATAACGCAAACAAAAAGAGAAAAAGGCATACAATTGGCAAATAAAACCATCTCTCGCATACGTCGAAATGATGGAACAAGACGTTCCTAATATTCTAAATGAATGAGATGGCAACGGAACCACTACGTTGTAAACCGAGAACCCCCTGTATAGCTAATATGTAGCTTAATTAACTCACCATTGAGTTTAAGTTACAGTATGTAATAGCTAAAAATAGCTAGCTAAAATGGCAGAATATTATTGCGTTATGTCAGATGTTTTATGAGCAAAGTTTGCAGTGTACTGCAGTTTTACATATTTACTTATTTAAAAAAAAAAATCCAGTCATATCCAAATATTTACTTATTTTAAAAAAATATCCAGCCATATCCCTTTACTTTTTTCATTGAAACATTCTACTTTACTGAAATGTTATCTATAAGGATTGGATGCGAAATTAATCAATATCATCAAGTCGCATTTTGCTCAATGGATGAAGATATTAACCAAACAATAAAACATAACGTTTGGGATACATAGTCAAAAGCAAATATACTTGACGTAGCGCCACATGCTTTCGCAGGTTTCAGGTTTTAAAAAGGCTAACAGCTCTATCCAACTTATAATTTCTATTCATTTCACACTGTAGTGGAAAAAAAGTTGTGTTGACTGATGGAAGTTTTTTTTTTTTACCTGGTGGTAGAGTCTCCAGGCCGTGTGCTTTATCATCCGAATTGTGCACTTTGCTTCTACTCGATAGGTCTGTAGAGGTCCAGTCATCCTAGAAGAGACAGAGTCTGTCAGCAAACATTTCACTGAGATCTACTCGGATCCTCTGCACTTCACCGCTACTGTACTTGATCTGTGTTTTAAAGATCGTTACTTGGATGCGCGAATAAAGCAGCACACACGAGAAATGATCCAGCGATTGACTTAAATGCACATTGTGGTTTTTTTCTTTGAGAGAACATAGTTAATTTTACAATCATTTAATTTAATAGCACACAGTCAGCCTTAAATGCGATATGTATATATATATATATATATACATATCGCATTTAAGGCTGACTGTGTGCTATTAAATTAAATGATTGTAAAATTAACTATGTTCTCTCAAAGAAAAAAACCACAATGTGCATTTAAGTCAATCGCTGGATCATTTCTCGTGTGTGCTGCTTTATTCGCGCATCCAAGTAACGATCTTTAAAACACAGATCAAGTACAGTAGCGGTGAAGTGCAGAGGATCCGAGTAGATCTCAGTGAAATGTTTGCTGACAGACTCTCTCTTCTAGGATGACTGGACCTCTACAGACCTATCGAGTAGAAGCAAAGTGCACAATTCGGATGATAAAGCACACGGCCTGGAGTACCCTGAGATACGAGTATTCTGAGATATGAGCCAGCCCTCAAATTTTTGCTTTAAGATGAGTAAGGATTTGAGATACGAAAAAATAGAAAAGTGAAAAAAAAAAGTAAGCTAAGTTAATTCTAAATATATGTAAGTTATGTGGTGTACGTGTAAGGTACAGTACAGAATCAAGTGCCTACATACGGGCCAACTCTCTTCCCTCCTTTCCTCCCTCCCTCCTCCTCCTCCTCCTCCGCACATGATGACATTAGGCGCTACTGTTTCGTCTGTCTCGAAGGTAAGAACTCTTAAATTAAAACCATATTTTATATATATTACATCACAGGAATTCTTATACACTACATTTTTTGTGTGTCTATTGCAATTAAAAACATGCATACATACATATATATATACACACATACATATATACATATATATACACATATATACATACATATATATGTATATATATATCTATAGATATATACACATACATATATATGTATATATATCTATAGATATATAAACATATATATATATATATATATACACACAGACTAGATAGAGCTACTGTATGTGTATAAAAATACACATATATAAATATACAGAGACGTTATAAAATTATTTACAGTAAATGGTTGGGAATTGCTTTTCTATACAATATTTATAAGTCACATTTGGGTTTTCCATATTAAACTTAAATCTTTATGTAATACAGTAGTTATCAATTGCTCTGGTCCTTCCAAATCAACTTAAATATGAATTTATTTTACAAGTTCTTCTGTTACCGAATCGTTTGGGGTTTAGTAAAAAGCTTATTCATTGGCATTTCTATGCCTGCAGCCTACTCAGTTTTATCATTTTATAGGATCTAGTCCTAGTTGAGACTCCATTTGTCACGGTATAATCCAGAGTAATCCGACCGGACGGAATTGTTATGATTAGCATCTTAAGGTGTTTGGTATCCATCCCAGACAGACGATGTAAACCATCTCTAAAAAAAGTGAAAAAATGGTTTCATCATTTAAATAATCGTTTTATTAAACAAAGGGGGTATCAAATGTTTTCCAAAATATCAGTAACGAAATATCAGTAACGTTTTACTTCCAAGAATGGTGACAACAATAGTATTGATAGCACACTTGAAGGTTTTAATGACCCACCAGAGGTTGATGGGAACTAGGTCAAAATAACAATACCAAGTGTTAAACGCTGAACAAGGGTTCTGTCAATGTTCATTTTACGGTTGCTGCCTAAGAAATAACACTGTGCACATAGTCCACCACAGTTCGTATAACAAATATTAGGCACACGCAATAAACATACTGTAGATGGAAAATAACTGGGGGTATCCAAAACACTATTATAAAACGGTTTATGTCTTGTAGTCCACATAAGAGCACCTCAAAATAACAAATATGGATCCACTGGCATTTCTGTTTAGATTGTCAACCTGGGTTTATAATTCCAAAATGGTCTCCAAATAACGTGGCTCCTATTAGTCCTCTGGAATCCAAAATGGTCTCCAATAACGTGGCTCCTATTAGTCCTCTGGTTGGATGTTGCCAAGTACGAAATGTGAGTTTGTGCAGACTAAAACACTAAAACAATAAACATAAAGAGTCACTAGAAACACATTGCACGAAGATGATTCTGTTTACTCCAGTCAGTGAATCTAAATAACAAAATTGCTGTCAAACAAGTGTTTGAACGCACTTATGCTCATTATGTAGCTTATTCTATTTATTGCAGAGCACTGGTAAAAAATACATACGCATCATCGTTTCATTTTCTACCTTAAATGCTGTTATTTCATATGAAGTTATAAGTAATTTTAGAGGTTTAGATATTGGTGTTAGATATTCAAGAAAAAGGTCGCACAGAGTGTCAGGCATCGTATTTTACACATTCCTTTTTAATTTGTTATAGTGCAGTGTTTTTACAACGGTACTCTTATCACTGTACAACACATAAAATGCCTTAACTGTCAAACACGCTCTGCTCCTCAAGCTAGCATGCAACTAGCTTGCGCAAAACAGAAAAAATATTTTTTAACAATTATCTAATAGTGAATATAAGTTAAAAAACAGTTAATGTTTCCTTATCCTACATATTTTGTAGCATTGTTTGTGGGACAGAAGCTAATGCTGTTTGGGGGCTTTGGCATGGAAAACTTTGGGAACCCCTGTTATAGTATTCGGTTCATGTTCATGTTTTTCAAATGTTTTTTTGCTTAGTCTATAAAAATGCTGCAAAAGTTGATGGGTTCAAAGTTTAAATAGAAAGCAGCAGCAATGCATGACTGAGTAACATTACGGGCCGTTTTATTTGTTCCTGGAGGGGATTTTTTGCAGTTTGCACACAGTAATTTCCATACTAAAAATAAAAACATAAATCCAGATTTCTTGTAAAGTTGTTGAATAAATTATAAGTTCATCAAATGTGCTGTATTTTTCTACATCTGACTGTTTTAGGACAGACTTTGAGTAAGTTTCAAGTCTCAAATTAAATCAAATATTAGATATAAATAGATTCAGGTTTTAATGATGAATCCATTTTTAATGCAAATAATCAAGGCTCACGATGTGTTGTTCAATTCAATATTCACACAGTCCCTAATCACAAACTGAATTATTTTGTGTCTAGCAAGACAATCCACAACTTTAGTATAGACAGTCCCACACACCAAATAATTACAACTGCTTCAGTCATAGTGGAAAAAAAAGTGACAAGACACAAAGGCATTTTCAACAATATATCATGACACAGAAATTAGCATACATTTAACAGTGCTTAGTCACAGGGACTAGTCTGTATACAGGTTAAAAAAAAAAAAAAATGAAACCAACAGTTAGTTAGAACAGCCCAGTTGCCCTCGATGTAACAACTCTGGATGAGATGATGAGATTATGAAGTTTTACTGTTGTTTTTACTGTTGTGTATAAGTGAAGCACAATGTGAAAGTTCTTAAGTTTTTTAACTAAAATCACCAGTTTAAGAGCAAGACCGTCTCTAGTGGGATATGCTACAGATAATCAATATTGTTGCTGATGTGTCGCTATGTTGTTCCTGGCTAAGAACTTGCCAGGAACAACAACAACCCAGCAACTGGGTGTCTCCCAAGTTTTCCTGACATTCTTGAAACTGAGTGAAAGATACCAAAGCAGAGGAAGTTTTGACTAGATTTGATTAACCGCAACACAAACGACACAAATGAAAAGATAAACAACGGAAAGACTTCTAAGTAATTGTTCGACGACTTGTCCAATCGGTCAACACACCTTTCAAAAATGTTCCACAATTAAAAAAAGCCTGTTGTTTTCTTTTGTTGTATTTGGATTATTTATTATTATTATTATATGTTTTGTTATTATGTACAAAATTAGGTATATAAATATTTATTTATTTATGATTTTCACAATTCAAGTATTTATTTTAAAAGTAGACATCATTACTTAATAAAAAAGTGGGAAAAAAACCCCCAGCAAAAACCAGTATCAGCAAAAAAAAATCATTGCACCTCTAATATAGAATGTTTTGTTTTTCCAAATATAGTGGAAACTAGTGTTTGAGTTCAACACAGGTTACAATTTATGTGTAAATCTTTTGTGAGACTTACGTGTGCTACAACAACATGTTTTAGAGCAGGGCTCTTTTTTTTAAGACTTAACCTGAACACCAATTCATTCATGAAGCTTGAGTAGAGCCATCTCATTCTGGGTGAGAAGAAAACCGAAGATATGTGTCCTTTAACATTCAAGCAATAGTCCAACTTTAGAGCTCAACTCATTCCAAGGGGTTTTAAACCAGAAAATAATGGATGGAAGGTGGGTCGCAAGAGATTTCTTTGGGTCATCTCACATCATGTTTCCCAGGGGTTTATGAATAATGTAAATAATGCTGACGTTTAAACTTGCAAAATTCACACTCGTGAAACTGATAAGAGTGTCATCCCTCGTTGTCAAAGGACATTAGCAGTTTGAAATAGGGCATAGAGTTGGTGCTTATTATTATTGCTCCGTTCACCAAATAAAATAGGGCTGTGCCATTTTTTTTTCATGATAGATCGATAGACAAATAGTTAGATAGATAGCACTTTATTACTCCTTCTGGAGTTCCCTTCAAGAAATTTAGGCTCCAGCAGCAGTACAGCAGCAAAAAAACAAACAAACAAACAAAAAAAAACAGTAAAAACACATGAATAGGTAAAATACAATAAAATAGAAACATGAGTAGCAGCACACTGTCAATGAATATTGGGAACCTGAACAGTGGATGTTAGTAGATGTTAGTTAGATTAGTAGGTTAGTAGAAGTGGATATTAGTATATAATATTGACAAAAATAAAGCATGAGTAGTACTTTGATACTTTGTACTCTGTAAGTATACTCCTATATTGCCTTTTGTCCCCAAATTCTGCACACAAATTTGTACCATTTCCGCAGGCTTACTGTGTGTATTCTGACAAGTGTCATAAAAAGTCAAGGTGAGAAAAAAAAAATGAGAGGAGGAGAACGAGGGAGCAGCTGGAGGACATAGCAGAGGGAGAGGAGGAACAGTGTTTAGTCAGCAAGAAGTAAACCAAGTTCGCTATTGTGACATCGACACGTTGTGACTAATGACCAACTGAAACAAAAACAGCAAAACCACATCGACATCCTCAGCATAACAGCCACTAATAAAGACATATTCCGCAGAATAACGTCAGTCTCACCAGCATTTATTGTATGGGTTTACTGTTTGCTCTGTGCTGTAATGGACGAGGCTTTTGCAAAATTTAAGTTTAACTTAACTTTAGTGGTTCTTTTAGTTTGTTGAGATGGTACACTAACATGTGATCAAGCATTTGTAATCATGATACATGCAACTACCTTTTAATCTGCATGTACACTGCTCAAACAAATTAAAGGAACACGTTTTTTTATTGGATATGGCACGAGGTCAGTTGAACCTTTCTGATAATGATATGGTCAGTTCAGCTGCAGAGGGCGTTGTCAAGCAGTTTCATTTCTCATTGGTGTAGATCGAATTAAACAACGAGGCACCAGAATGGCAACAGTGAGAAAGACCCCAAACAGGACTTTTTGCATTTGGAGGATGAGAAAGACAGTCCCAAACAGGACTTTTTGCATTTGGAGGTCATTGAAAGTTTCTCCCTCTTGATGTTTTTTGGCTGGTTTTCTACTTGTGCTGATTTTTGCTAGAGTTATAACTCATTATAACTACTACTTGACCAACTCCTCCTGGACAGCAGATCCACACATTGGGGGCCACAATGTCGGGGGCCACAGAAGATACTGAAAAGCACTTTGAGATGCTAGCTTGTCACATCATTATTTCACTTTTGATTTTCGGGGTGTCTATACAATTAAGCCCTCTGTAGGCTGAAAACTTTTATTTCTATTAAAAGATGTGCCATCCTTTTGTTCCTAAGACATTGCCCTGTCCATACCTCTATAGGTATCCATCTTTTTTTTTTCCCCACATTGAGAAGTGTTCCTTTAATTTTTTGAGCAGTGTATTTTATTGTATATTTATGTAAAAATGTATATGATATTTTTCTCATTTATTATACGAAGACTGCATTTTATTTTTAATTTAGTTTTTTTTTTTCCGAGAGACTTTGGAAGTGTACCACCATATTTTTCCTGTGTTTAGTTTCTCTGCAATAATTACATATTATGGTACTGTTATTTTAAGGACAAGTTCAACAGGAAGTGCCTCAGAAGTGGGCAATAGTGGTAAAAGAAATTAACAATAAATGAAAAGGGGTAAAAGATGTTATTTAGGGGCCTCTGTTTATACACCCAGCACAATCTAAATATAATCTACGGGTCTGTTCTTTTGTTTGTAATTTGTAACTGACTTTACATTATTGTTCTGCCTGACCATTCTGAGCAAGTGGAATACAGCTAAAGGCTTCATTTAACATCCCATCCAAATTTACTAAGAACAGACTAAGTTAAAACCAAATAAGTACAATATGCTTAATTTATATTAAAAGTAATTTTTTTTTAGTGAGACAAAAGAAACGTTCGCTTAACTATAGCCGCTGTGTGACGTTTGTTTCTTTGTGACTTCCTAGATTAAATGCTCATTTGTCGAGTCCAAGAGAAAGAGAGTGGCAATGAAAACAACACTTAAACGGTTGAGCACCACCCTTGTTTAAACAAGCTAAATATATCTCCATATAAAGACAAGGCTAGGCAAGTACAGCCACTCTGAAATGCTCCACGTTAATGCTGCACTAAATAATTACTCAATTAAAAATGTCATTTATTGTGAGTCTGTTACCTGTAGTACATGTAGTTTGTTTTTTTGTTGTTGTTTTTTTTTGTTTGTTTTTTTTACATATGGAAAAGTAAAAGGGTTGTTCAGGTTGACTTGATAAAAGCAAACAAAAACCTGACCACCACAAAGACTGGTACAAAACGCACAACACAAACACACACGCACTTAGTAATAAAGTGAAGTGTGTACACACAGCTTCCCAATAGGTGATGTTATAAAATGATACACCGGATAGACTAGACCAGAACAGGAAATAATGACGGCGACAGAACAAACTTAATCTTGGCCGTACCGATTCTCTGGTAGGACAATTTCACGTGTAACACACTTTAATACGTGTGGCCCATGTAATTAGTTACAGCGGGGGAGGAGGGTCAAACTAATTTTCACCAGGGGACACATGCGCAATGCAGGTCCCCTTAAAGGGCCAGTTTAAACAGTAAGACTGTACAGATGTAATTACTCCATAACATATTAATAACATTTGGACAATTTATTATAATTTATTCATGTTAAAAATACAGTACATTACTCTGTGTAGTAAAAATCAATCCAAAACGTATCCCCAATATTCGTGATTTGTACAATAAGAGAATATACACTGGGAGATAATGTTAACTCAACAAAGAAAGACTGTCCAAAGTCACCATAGTATTGCTGGTAAACGCATGTAATGTAAGAAATAATTACTTCAACAGATAAATAAGAAGGGGGTTGTGATTATTAATCATACATTTGTTTGACAGCGAGTCTTCTTGCGCTTCTACAAATACCGGTTATCCAAAACTTTTTATAACGTCTATAAGAGACTTGAAAGTTTTCTGACCACCAGATACAACACTATTACTATTGACACATCATGTTACAAAAAAGTACTTTTTTTTAGCTTCAGACAAACTTGTTTCCGCATGTGTGCATTTCTTTTAAAGTTGAAAGGGTTCGGCTCACACTTATCACACACACCCAAAGCGGAAGATAGACACTTGTGACAGTGAGTCCAGCTCACATCAATGTCCGTGTCCATCCTCAAATTCATCATGGTGTCTTTATGATCACGAACAATGTCAGCGTTGTGTTTGTGCAGCAGCCGCTAAGTGCTGACGTGCTCTTCGGCCAAAAACCCCTACACCTCCCTCCATACCCACCCGAGCAAGGCAGGCCGGCTACCTCTATTTTATATATATGTCAAGATTCTTAGCCGTACTCTACGGTTACCTCCGGTGGCTACAAGACACGATATGCGATAGGCCCGTGCTCAGCCACTGCTGCCCTAGAACACATTTACCGGGAGAGGGGGAGTCTGTGGAACCCGGCCTGCCTGCAACATCGCCCCGCTGTCCCTGCCCGCCATCCCACCACAGCCAAATCAATGCCTGTCCATTCACGACAAGGCCTCCTTATCACATTCCCGAACTGCAGCTGTGTATCCAACAGCGCCAAATCACGCCGCTCAATGAACGCAGCGGCCGGACAACAAACACAACAAACGCGGACCCTAGCATACTAGCAGCGTTTGGTCGTTAAAGAGGAGACGAAAAAGGGGTAGACCTACCTTCCGACTCAGCGCTGTCCCCGAGTAGAAGTAGTAAGCTATTCCCAACACCCACAGCAGTGCAAAACACAGCAATATCCTTGATTTCCTCCGCATGGCTGCTTACTCCTCTCTTTCGCTTCCCTATGCAGAGGGCGGTTCGGCTTCGCCCGGCTGGGCTCGGTTTCGGCTGATATCGCTCGTCCCCGTCGGCAGTGTTATACAGCAGGCAGGTGGTTCAGTTGGTTCAGTAGAAGCTCAGAGAAAAGGAAGAAGACAACCAACATCAGCGAGGTTAGAGGGCAAAGGCTAGGCAGCTGTAATCCAATCAAACACCGGCTCACGCAGCTTTGGAGGAGGGCCCGAGCTGACTGTGGCACCCGAGGAGAGGTGGGCTGAAAGAGGAGAACTGCCCTGTGCCTAAACCGTTTACAACAACCGTTATTACTGGGGAATGTTTCTCACGGTTGCTGTAGAACATCAGTTGTGTGTCATTCGAAGCTTTGTTCATCATCATAATCATCATCTTCTTATCAGCTAAATGATTTACCCAGCTCTTTGTTCTGTGCTCTGAATAGCCACCAGGGGCGTCAGAGAGACAGGATTGATCCCTTTTCTCTTTAGAATTATTCTAGTAATATTACATAAGCTAAGGAAAAGACAAGTAAAGGGATGTACTTAAATTTAAAGGGAGACAGAAAATCACTTGGCTTAACATTATTGATTTTCAAGCCAGATTTATTTAAATGTTCAAACAATCATATTTTATAGAGGTATATACAGTATTTTCCTATACCAAACCAATTGTTTGCATTAAGATGAAAAAACTTGCATTTCAAATAGTATTAATAAACAGGAAAAAAAATGACAATAATCTTAATATATCAATAAAAATCGCTAAATTTAATGTTGGACTAAAAATTGGGAGTTCAGCTTAGTAAATGTCTTAGTTTTTAATATTAGCATTTTAGCCTTCATGCATGACTTGACTTGACTTTTACATGTCATTTATCTTAGTTCACACGAATGCTCCATCTAGCTTTTCCTGACTCGGCCAACTTGTTGTTGAATTATGTCCAGAGAGTGACATGTAGAGCAAGATTATCTGCTCATGATACTGATATGATACTTAAAATCAATAACAATAAAAAAAAAATACAATTATTTGAAGGCATATGGTCACAGAAAAGTATATTAAAACCAGCGCAGGTTCATGAAAAGAGAATGAAAATGTAAAACTAAAAAAAGTAAAAACTGCTCTTCAGAAACTCAAACATTTATCACAGTGCGGCTGTAATGGCATATTATTTAGATATAATTTATAAAAAACATTATATTTTGTTTTATTTTTATATCCATCTACTGTATATATACAGCTGCACTCCGTTCACTCTTTGCCAGTCTCCTGTTCCGTAAGTACGATAACTACCTGTTGTTTCCAAGTCCCGCTTTATTTGCTAACTGCAGTGCCCTGTTTGCTTCTTATAAAGACTGAGTTAATCCTGACCTGGTTGTGCTGCTATTGGGTCCTTTCCATACCCATGACAACACCAATAATTAGAAATGATTACCCTAACCCCGCAATTGCATAGTTTCTATAGATATCTCCAAAGTTCCAAATTTTCATACAAGTCATAAAGAAAAAGAATGAATCTGTAAAAACCCAAATGATTTAGAAAGCTACTCTATATTTATATATCTGGGCTATAAGTCACACCAGCCAAAAAAATGCATAATGAAGTCGAAAAAAAAAACATACTCGGCGTAAAATCACACTAGTGCCCTCTAGCGGCAGTCGGTGTAAAAATAACGAATATGTGAAAATATATTTGAATATAAGTCGCAAACCAAGCCATAGGATGAAAAAAAAAAAAATGCGGCTTTTAATCCAGAAATTGTGGTACTTCATAATTACCGTGTTACAGAAAAGGGTAACTGAGTAAAATCATATCTCACATTTGTACAAATGACTTACAAATAATTCATCATAAAACAAAGAGTATCCTAGGGAGAAATGGAAGCTGGAACTGATTGTTAAAATTTGTCCCTTATTTGCCACGGTGGGGAAATTCAGTGCGGGTCTTCGCTATTAAATCTGCAGGATTACTCTGGGGCTCAAATTAAGGACTAAGGCCGAATTGTCCAGCAGGCGTGATAACAACTACGCTATGGAACCACCAATAAGGACAGGGCAATGGAGGAAATGCGCCCTTGGAGGGAGTAATGTCTTAAGAGGGATATGATACTAATATTCTGAATTCATTTATCACTGCGCTAATACACAGTCAATACAGATATTATTTGCATGCACTGTGGGGGCTTAAAATACCACGTCATCCAGCAGAGGCTTCAACATATGGTCAGACCAACCTCACGAGTGCAGGGCAGTAAATAAAAAAAAAGCTGACTGGAAAATTGTTAAATGGAATGCTAAGGACCGGAGATCAACGGCCTTCACCGAAGTTGTGGAAACAACTCTCGACATGTTCCACAACCCACCATTAAGATGCAGTTCTGAGTGAATTCCACCGACTCCACGAAGCTAAGCTTCGAGGTAAAACTTTGCACACTCTTCCTCGATATTTTCCTGTGAATTAACAATGTGTTCAACCATGAATCCTGAACTACAACTGAAAAACTCCAAACCCTTTTGCTTTCACAATGAAAAACTGTTGGTACACAAAAACACAAATCACAGAACACCACAGCAAGGAACTTTATTTGGCCTTAAGGAAAGATTTCAAGAGATTTCAGACGGTGTACTTCTCCTCGCCTTGCCTTTGTGTTTTATGGTAGTGTGTGTAGCTGCTGTACAACTCATTGAACACTTCTCTCACTCCCATATGCAGTCCACTCATTAGGAACTTGATATCACGCTCTGTACAAAGATCCAGAATCTGATAGATGCCCTCGGTCAGATGCAGCTTAATATCTGCTCGCAGAGTCACCTGCAGGATTTAATCAAGACAGGCCACAGAAAGCATGTTACAGGACGGCATAAAATCCAAACGCGGCAAGCAAATAAGTAATGGGAGCTGGTGTTACATTTCTATTTCTATTTCTATTATTTATATGTATTTATTATTTTGACTTTATTTATCTATGTTATAATGTATATTATATTTTTATATATATGTTTTTTTTTTATAATTTTGTATATTTAAAAAGATTCTGGAAATGCAATAGTTTGCTGAATTTATTCACTTGTGCTTACTGTTTATA